TAATTCGGAGCTGCAACTTTATTCGAAACTGCGTAAGTGAGCTTAAAATCTTACTTCAAAACCTTTCGATATATAGGCTATCTATTGTATCCAAGTTCGTTTATACTTTATGTAAAATTACATTCGCTAATACATAACTTTACTTTTACAAACCTTATCTGAAATCGATCTAAGGAAAGAAAGTTAAAAGTTTTTCATTTTTTTTAAATAGCAAATACATGTAATATTGTCGGAAGATTTCCGGGACGTAGTCAGTTCAGTTAGTTACAAAAAATTCATAGATTTAGATTGGAAAAATTTATAAAGGATCAGATCGTACAAAGCATAACATATAAATCCTAACGAAATCCGAATGAATTCCACTTGTCGTTCTCAATGTTTTTTTTGTCAAAACCCTTTTCATTTGTTGTCAGTAATAAATATTCAAGTATTAATTGTTACAAGGTTTTACATTACGACCTGTTTAATTTTTTATATAGAAACAGTGGCACTTTCTGTCAAGCGATGAAAGAAGGGAAAAATTCGCGTTTGCCTGTATCGCGATTTCCGCTTGCGCGAGCGATCGGATCAGAAGGAATCGCGTTCGAATATTGCGGACAGACGGCTGCGGTGGCATAAGCGACAATGGTGTAACGCGACAGATGCACGATATTTACATAATACGTCACTATTCCTGCTGCCACACCCGCACGAACAGCCGCACGTGAATCTCTTTTTCTTCGCTCTTCCCTTGGCCATGTTCGCCGTTTGCGTTTCTCCTCGCTCTCCCTTTCTTTTCCTCTCTTGCGGAATTCGTTCCGACGAATCTCCCTAGCCTGGAGGAAGCGTTCCGTATTCCTCTCGAGCGTCGTTAGCCCACTGATGCACTATCGCGACGAGCCATTCGATAGAACCGTCCGGAACTTCGCACGCAAGGCGTGCGGCACTCGATATGCAGGTGGCATGGAATGAATAGAAATGCAGCGACCCGAGATATTTTTAATTTTTTACAACAACAATTTGTACCGCGCACCGACGGATTGCAAGGTGATAACCGACAACGCATCGCATTATCAGCATTTGCCCTTTTTCTTTCATTTATTTATTTATCGTTCCTTTTTTTTCTTCCAGAAAATCGATCGATCACGTTTTCGATGTTTTCCCTGCTTCGCTCCTTATCGCACGACGGCTGATCGGCCGTATGGCTTATCAGCTCCGCAGGCCGTGGCCTCACTTTGAATATCGCGCACTGGCACACGATTGATGGGACGACCGGCGGCTAAGCATCCACTCGATTAGATCCAATTCGTTTAATTACGTTAAGCACGGGCGCGTTGAATACTTCCTTTATTTTCGCGCGCGTGCTCGCGACGGTGGCGTCGACGGGGCGG